GCCCAGAGTTCAAGCCCCACAACTGACCAAAAAAAAAAAGAAAAAGCCAGAAGTGGCACTGTGGCTCAAATGGTAGAGTGCTAACCTTGAGCAAAAGAAGTTCAGGGACAGTGCCCAGGCTCTGAGTTCAAGCCCCAGGACTAGCAAAATAAAGCTGGCAGTCTGCCACATGAGCCACACCTCCATGTCTGCTTTTTGCTGGTTAATTAGAGATCAGTGTCTCTGGCTCTGAACTGCAGTTCTCACATCTCATCCTCCTGAGTAAGTAGAATTATAGGCATGAGCCTCTAGCACTGACTTTTCTTTCATTATTAATATGTGAAAAAGACCTGGAACAATGTGTGTGATACTTTTTAGCCTTTCCTTTGGTAGGCTAGAATTTTGATATAGATTCTAAAACTTGGTGGAGTCTTTGAGTAAATTTCTTTGGTTTGTTTTGGTTGGCTATATATCAAACCCAGGATTTTTTTTTCTTTTTCTTTTTTTTTTTTTTAACCATTGAACCATGAGTTTTGAATTGTCTCCTATAGATTCTGATTTGGTCTAATGTCACTAGATATTTCTTAGAACTCTTAAGAATCCCCAGGAGAACAAGGGATCCAGATGTTGCTTTCTGGATTTATCCCACATCTTCCTTCAGTTTCAAAGCAGTAACTATTTATGGTTAGAGGCCACGGCCTCAGGCTGAACAGGTTACCTGATGGTGCCAATGTAAATCCTAATTTGTGGCAGAATCTGATGTCTGATTGACACATTTTGGCGAGGAATGCTAGAGGTTGAACCCAGGACCCTCATGTGTTCTATCATTGAGCTACATCTTCAGTCCATTCTACCTTTAATCCAGATCCCCATGTGATCTGCACACTTACTAAAGTTTGAGAAGCACTAGGTTATAATTCTCAACCCTAGTTATACAATTAAGTGATTTTCAAAAAAATTTTCAGTTGGAGACATGGCTGAAGTAGTAGAACACCTACCTAGCAAGTGCAAGATCCTGAGTTGAAATTCCAGTTGACCAGTCAATTGATAATAAACAAATCAACTGACATTTTAAAAATATTTTATTGCTATTATTAAGGTGTCATATAAAGTATCAGAGAAGTTACTATTTTGTAAGTTGCTTCCTTTGCTTTCTCCCAATTTCCCCCTCACCTCCCTACCCACAGGTTATGTAGTTCATTTTACATGTAGTGTCTATTGAGTACCATATCTGCATTTGCTGACCCAGAATCTCTGTGAAGGATGGCACCCAGGGATTAATAATAGTTTCAGCTTTCCAAGTGGTGAAGGCAATTTAAGTACGTTGTTGATGGCTTAGTTCTGTCATAATGAACCAAGAATTTCATTCCTTTCAGCTCAGTCAAAGGCCAACTGTGGCTGAACTACTTGCTAGGAAGATTCTGAGATTTAATGAATATGTAGAGGTCACAGATGCTCAAGATTATGATCGGCGAGCAGACAAACCCTGGACCAAATTGACTCCTGCTGACAAGGTAACTGCAAAATATTTCTCTCTGTCTCTCTCTCTCTCTCATTTAGATATGTTAAAATTTCAAAATGCCAAGATGTGCAACCAAAATTTTATACTGTTAACTACTATTGACAATGAAAGACAAGAAAATGCATGTTGTATCATGGAGTTTTAGGGGGAAAATGAACAAAGTAAAAAACATTTTTAACCTAATTGATATTTAGTTAGAGGAACTTTAGGTGGTATATTTTAATAAATGTACATATTTCTCCTCTGTATTCTATTATATAAAAGCTATAATATCTCTTAAGCTTTTTGGACATTTTAGTGTAACTTGAAATTTAGTTATGAAGTTAATGGTGTCAAGGAAAGTCACATACATTGGCTCTCTCTGTTGATCTGGCTTCTTTGTCCCCTCTGGGTTGCTCACAATGGAAAGCACAATAGAGCTAGATGGCAAGTCTCACTGATATACCACAGCAGAAGATGATGAAATCTTATTTCTGCCCTACAGGCTGCCATACGGAAAGAATTAAATGAATTTAAAAGCTCAGAGATGGAGGTTCATGAAGAAAGCAAACATTTTACACGGTAAGGCCCCAAAAACTCAAATATGAGCTAAGTAAAATTTCCCCAGCAAAAAGCCATTGCTACCAGAGTTACTCAGATATGAAGAATCATATCAACATCATTAAAAGGAGGACACTTAGTGAGATTGCAAGAACTGCATTCAGAGAAATGAATGAGAATTAAGGAGGGATGTTGCAGAACCAGGATTTAGAAAAAGGAATGAGTATTTTCAAAGCCATAGGAAGCTTTCCTCCCTAAATTAAGAGATTGTGCTGAGGTCAGGCATCACTAGCTCATGCCTTGTAATCCTATACCTACTCAGGAATCTGAGATCTAAGGATTATAGTTTGAATCCAGCCTGGGCAGGAAAGTCTCTTAAGATTTTATTTATTTATTTATTTATTTGCCATTCCTGGGGCTTGAACTCAGGGACCTGGGCACTGCCCCTAGCACTCTACCACTTGAGCCATAGCACCACTTCCAACTTTTTCTGTTTATGTGGTACTGAGGAATTGAACACAGGGCTTCATGCATGCTAGGCAAGTACTTTTCAACTAAGCCACATTCCTAGCCCCTTAAGATTTTTTTTTTTTTTTGTCAGTCATGGGATCTGAACTCTGGGCCTAGACACTGTCCCTCAGCTCTTCAGCTAAAGGCTAGTGCTCTACCACTTGAGCCACTTGCAGCTTTTTCTGCTTATGTGGTGCTGAGATATCGAACCCAGGACCTTGTGCATGCAAAGCAAGCATTCTACCACTGAGCCACCTTCCCAGCCCACCCTCCACTTAAGATTCTTATCTCCATTTAATCACCAAAAACCCAGAAGTAGAGCTGTGACTCAATTGAGAATGGACATTTCATTCATAGATCCAATATGGTTTAATAGTCATTAGATTCCAGGATGAAATAAAGGAAATAGTTAATATGACTAATATTTCTTACAGCTCAGTGGTGCTGTGTGTAGGTATATGAGAAAAACTAGTAGATTGTTTATTTTTGAGACAAATGGTCTCCCTAGGTCACCCAAGCTGACCTCTTAACTTCCTTTTTTTGGGGGGGAAGGTGAGGGTCCGGTCGTGGGGCCTGAACTCTGGGCCTGGGCGCTGTCCCTCAGCTCTTCAGCTCACGGCTTGCACTCTTGAGCCACAGCACCACTTCCGGTTTTTTTCTTTTTGCTTATGTGGTGCTGAGGAATCAAATCCAGGGCCTCATGCATTCAAGGCAAATACTCTACCACT